TATTCTTGTATATTTTAATTAAAAGTGTAAGAATATCTGATATTTATCTATTTATTTTTATACATCAATAAATGTATTGCCACAAGCATGTTCTCTTCAGTCAGGTAACTGCTACTTAAATTTATATCCAAAACACTAAATGACTGCAGTACTTGTTGGGGACACATTTATTAGGTTCCCAGCTGGTGTTAAAGCTGCCAGATTAACAGCTGCTGTTATTTACAGGCTGCCATTTCCTTCACAGACTTTAACGTTATTTCAAAGTAGAGAGGAGGGTGGTACTGCAAATATTTCATCGTGAGTACATCCCACTAGCTACAGACTGTCAGCTATTTCAATAAAGTTGAAGATTTATTTTTCACTGTGTATTTGTGAAGATATGAGTTCCTGAAAAGTCCTTATAATAACACTGAACCATTTAAAAAGCCCAGACTTTACTTTTTTTTTATGTATCCTGATTGCATTCACCATGCTGATTCTCATCTGAAAATATGTTTTGTAATTAAAAATGATTAACTCATGACATTGATAACATGAATTGAGCACCATATCGTTACTCAGGGCAGGAAAGCAATGACAAAAAGTGACCTAAAGTCTCTATTTAGACTGTTGACTTGATGATTGTTGAAATACAATCTGTCAAATACGTCAATCACGAATTATATCAAGCAACTTTGGGGCACAATACACAAGCTGCAATTAGATCCTGGTAAAGTGACGTTTGAGGGTGTCATTGAGGTTAAAAATATGTTTCCAAAAAGCACTGAAATTATTAGTACAATCACGCAGAGCCATAAGGATAAAACAAGTAATTTCTTTATTTTATATGTAAACCCTAATGACTGCGGTCTATTTACAGATAGAAACGAAAGATATTAGACACTTTTTTTTTAAAAAAAAAACCCCATCGAGAATCACTTTTTGGGACGACACAGGTAATTTAATTAGGAAAATGTCTGTCTTATAAGATTTCTAAATCATGGTCCCACCATCATATTTGATTAGCCGAATATATACCAAAGACTAGAAAAAACTGTTTTCTACAGTCTTTGATATACATGCATACGTAGCGGAACCTTTGTACTCTTTAAGTTGGAAGACGGAAATATTTCGATAACGGAGAAGCATGGGAACCCGTGTTGCTGTGAATCAGGTGAAGTATAAATACAAACTATTACGATTTAGTATCTTTTTCCTCGAAGTAGAAATAATTAGAGGTGCAACACTTTTAACTGAATGGACCCATCAGCAAAAAAGGAAAGAAAAGACTGACATTTATAACCTTCACGTCTGCTAACTTGAGCTAATGATAACGATGGAGTTTGTTAGCATATTTTCTGCCCCCTCTACCGCTGCTGTCTGAGGGTTTTAAAGGCGTGTATTTTTCCACAGGTACTACGGTTGGCTGTGAGAAATGCCACCATCTCTACACTGTGTCCGCGTCAGTTTGGGAGATACTACCTCCAGTCCAGATGGTGTTGTTCCTCCACCAACCAGGCAACGCTGCACAGTCAAGACTTGAATCCTCCGAGTGGGATCCCGGTCACTGAGCTGTCCCTGCGCTCTTTCATTGATATGGGCTTCACAGAGAGTCAGGCAGAGCAGATATACGAGTCTCTGGCCAATGTCAGAAGAGGAGATTCTGCCAAACACATCCTACCAACCCTCACAGCTCTGTTTGTCTTGGGTCTCAACCCGTCGAGTGTGAAGAAGTGCCTGGAGAAATGTCCTGAACTTTACACCATAAAAGAGGCACAGCTGCAGCAGCGCATAAGCAACCTGCGGAAAATAGGCTTAGTTGAAGGTAAAGTGTTGCCTTTGCGCAGTTTTTTTTTCTACATTAGATCAAGCATAAAATTACTGAAAATATATGAAACCCGCATTTTACTCTATTTCTCCGTAGGCAGCCTTCAGAGGGTGGTGGCCCATTACCCCAGGATCCTGACTGTGCCTTTGAAGAGGGTAAAAAATGTGGTGATGTTTCTCAAAGAGAAGTGCCTGTTTACTTCCCAGCAGGTCACAGACATCATCAGAGATTGTCCAGCAGTGGTGCTGGAGAACTTGGATCAGCTGGAGTACAAGTTTCAAGTGAGCAAGTGAATTGTGTTTGCTGCTTTTTGTTAGGTTTTGGTTTGGATTGTCAAACAGACCTGTCCAAACAGACCTTATACTTGGGTTCTGTGTATTCAAATGTGTAACAAACAACGGTTACCATATTATTACATAAAAGATGCAAATGTGAATTCCTAGATGTTTTGAATAAGTTATCAAAGACTATAAGCACAGTGGGCAGATACTCAGTAGATCTATTCCAGTAATAATAGACTGAATGTTATTTGTGTATATAATTTTTTTCAGATCTGCATTTTATAATCCTGTGAGCACTTCTG